CACATTACATATGGATAATATAAATATAATTTTGACCAAAAATTAAATACATTTAATTGTTTCGGTACAATTTATATCTTAAAATTAAACGATTCAACAGTCACGATAAATAATTTTCAAGATTCGAATATTTGTTATCGATCTTCAATTTTTTTGTGTCTATGTGTGGTCGGATTTGGTTCGAGATTAAAGAAAAAAAGAAACGAAAAATGTGAAATTTCGTTAAATAAAGAAATCGTTTATATTTCTTGGAACGTTATAGAACAACTTATTCATTATACAGTGATATCGTCGGAACAATCATATAGTGAATTGTCCAAAGTAAAAGTTACCCATCGTGTCACACATATTTCACGATCAACGAAGAAGCTATAATCTACAATTCGCACGTAATCGATCATTCTATTTCCAAACTTCCTTTTGCCAGCGAAATCTTCGTTACTTGAAAATTTCGCCATATTTTCGTTGAATATTTATTTTTTCTAAAAAAAATGAGAAGAGAAATTGAGAAGGAAAAGAATACATTACACCTACGGTTCCCGATCATTTTCACGGGCATGTTACTACCAAGGACGATTCCTCGCTATTTCCAAAGGATTACCAACAACGTAATTGTATAGAGATAATGTAGGCGATGATACGAGATGCGTGAAAATATTTTATCGTCGAGTTCAGCCTGGAAACCGGACTCGAGTACAGATTGCCGGGAGGTGAAAGCGCGTATTGCGCTCTCTCAGTGTCAGTCATGGCCGAGACATTCGTTGCATCGCATCGTATTATATCGTATCGTAGCGAGAAATAAAATTTACTTAATCTATTCTCTTAATTGCCTTCGATACGAATTTTATATTCCGTTGAATGATGTGTTTATGCGAGACTCGTTTGTAACGAGTCGACATGTCGTGGAAATGAAACAAACCTTGAAAACTTTTCGACGACCGAATACACAAGGTAAATTACATAAGATGATTTTCTATGATACTTTACTTCATGTACATTATATTAAAAATTTTAAAAAAAATTGAAATTTATCCAAGTAAATAAAGATGACAAAATGATTGCACTTCGTTCTTTTGTCAGACATTTCAATTTACATATTTTCTCGCCATTCGTTATTAGGAAGGAAAAATCGTTGTGTCATGTTCGTTTATACATATATTTCGATTGTTTCAAGATTTAAATAATCCATATATTATATTCATACATATTCATCATTTACAAATCTTACTCGAATATTTTAATTGTTTGGTTTTCTCGTTCATTTTCAAAACTTGAACAAATGTTGAAATACACATGACATTCACGACGTAAAACGATATATATATATATCGTATATATATATATATACATATATATACACATACATACATACATACATACATACATACGCACACAGAGATATAATACTGTGAAACGATAAACGATGGTTTTTTTAGTGGCTATAAGTCTTGGTAAAGGATCGGCATTGCTCGTTGGTTGTGCGCATAATATTGAAGAATGGAAGAAAGAAGACCAGAATCGAACGACGTCACAAAATTCACAAAGAACACAAGGTCTTGTTCAGATGAGAATCATCGACTTAAATGAGGACATGGATATTCAGGAAGCATCATGCTATATTCACGAAGGTCCTTGCAAATTTTAGGAAATTGTACCGATTTTCTTCATACCGTTAAATAATATCAATGATGTGTCTCTATCAATAATTATCTATTTTCATTTAACAGAAAAAAAAATATATATATATATATTTCTATATGTAAATCAATCTCTAAGAGAGATTAAATAAATATTATGATTTATCTTGAAATCATATTAAAACAATAAACTATTCTCTCATTAATTAATGAGATAAAGATTGTGATTCCTATCAATTTTATTTTCTATTGATTTAGCTGTTAACCTTTTACAGACGATACTTCCGATGACAGCACGTACGAGAGTCTCCATTCATTCCAGCCAGATGAATTCTGCACAGATTCGGAAACTGAGACGATCGATGAGACGAGAGAGCGATGGAACGATAATGTCGAAATGGGACAAAATTCGAATAATCGATTGGTGATCGCGTCATATTTGGAAGCACCTACGAGGCCAAATCCTCCTCCACCACGCGAAGTTAGCTTGACTCGAACTCTTGGTAGAAGAATAAAAATGCTTCGAAGAACGTGGAGCATTACTAAAGGAAGTTTAGGTCGCATGCGGAGAAGGACTTCGGTCGACGATGATCATTCCTGCGAGGAAAATAAAGAATTCACCAACGATCATTCCAATTTAAATGGTGGAAAATACTTTAGTTTCACGAGGCATTTCAAAAAAACCGTTAACGGACCTTTCTCAACTTTTTACTTGAACGATTATACCAGTGCGAATACCGACAATGATTCCGCAATAACAAGAACTTTGAACAAAGAACCTATATATAGCAATACCAAGGAAATAGGTAAGAGAATGTTTAAAATTTCGAATCTAAAGAAGTATTTTTAATTTTCATTTTTTGCTTCGATTCTTATAATACAGCGTTTATTCTTTTAGATCATTATAGTATACTTGCCGATCAGGAACCTCTTTATCAATTTTACGCAGCAGCTGCAGCTAGAATAGCGTCCGATTTCAATTCGGACGGTTACGAAGAGGTAATATATATATATACATATTGTTACAGAATCAAAATTATTTACATAATATTCTAATACTTTATATACTCTAATACTTTATAGTTTATTAATCATTGAACGATTAATCAGGTCGAGGGTATAATCCCGTCCAGATCTACCACGGATTTGGCAAAACCGGGACATAGAACGTTGTGGTGTCAAACACCTCAAGTTCTAAATAGTGATCTTTTAAGTAAGCGACGTGTTGCATTATTGTAAACAATTACACATTTTTATATTTTATCTAAAATCCAGCTATCATTACAACGTTTTACTTTTTATTAGAACGATTAACTACCAAGGAAAAGAAGATTCAAGAAGCAAAGTTCGAAATTCTCACTTCAGAAGCATCCTACTTGAATTCTCTTCGTGTTTTAAAAACCGAGTTTCTTGACGACTCCTCGATCGATGAAATTTTAACTTCGATTGAAAAAGACAAGATATTCGGCGATATTCCTAGTGTGTTGCACGCATCAGAACAATTTTTAGCTGAATTGGAAACTATATGGAGACATGATCCTATGTTGCATAATCTGCCGAATGTATTGCTTAAATATGCCGATAGATGTTTAGATATTTATGTAACATATTGTTCTAATCAAGTTAGTATTGATACAATTCTCAAAGATTTAAGGTAAGTAGAAAAATGCTTATCTTTCAAACTTGAAATTTATGATTGTGATTTTATTTTTTTAGAACGCGAAAAGGCTTAAAATTTTTGGAAACAATTTCACAAATAGAAAATCGTTCAATTTGTCAAAACTTGTCTTTACATTCATTTTTAATGTTACCGATGCAACGAATAACGAGGTAAAATAAAATTCTGCTTAAACGATCAAATTTTACGTGGAATAACGAATGAATAAAAAATATATATTTCATTTAGACTTCCTTTATTGGCCGATGCAATTCTTTCTAAATTACCAGTTGAACATAATGACAGACCTCATTGGGAACAAGTCTTATCAAGTTTAAGTTATGTTGTTGCTGAATGCAATGAGGGTGCTCGTGCCGCGGCAAAGGAGATTGAAATGGAAAATTTAGCAAAGTAATGTTTACAATTTATAATTGGTATAATCTCAAAAATATTTTATCGTAATTTTTTTCATTTACATATATTATATATTATATTAAACATATGTTATATTAAATGAACAATTTTGTTCCAATAGAAGATTGGAATATTCCGCGAAAATTAAACCGATTGTATTAAAAGGAAAAAATTTAATTAAAAGTGGACCAGTTGTACAATTATCCATGAAAGCTGATACCGAATATAAACTCACATTTGGAAAGAAATTCAATAAAACGTCTCTTTATTTATTATTGCTCACAGACTTTCTTCTAGTCGCAAAATATAAATCCAAGTATGAGCATTTTATATAATCGTATTTTTTTTTTATTATAAAATATAATATTATTTATATAACATGTTTTTTTTCTTTCTTTTTTTTTTGTATCATAGTACTCATGACGAAACATATAGCATTATAGATACTTGTAAAAGAAGTTTAATCGCTTTAGAACCAATTTCTGAAGATTCGCCATTTGCTGGTCGCAATGCGATGCATTTGACTCTTTTGGAAAATCATTCAGGGCATCAAATTGAATATATTTTAACATGCGAAAGCGACACAGAAAGACAAAGATGGTTGGAAGCAGTTTTTCCTTCAAAACGAGGATTAACGGGAGAAACACTTTATGAAGTGTGGGATTGTCCTCAAGTAGTAGCTTTATATTGCTATTCTTCAAATCAATCAGATGAATTATCATTACATCCAGGTATATGTTTTTTATGAAAAACTTGTGTGTGTGTGTGTGTGTGTGTGTGTGTGTATTTGCATTTTAATTAACGCAAAAAATTGTTTTTAGGGGATGTTATAAATGTATTTAAAAAAATGTCAGATGGATGGTATCATGGTGAAAAATTATTAAATGGTGAACAGGGCTGGTTTCCTGGAAACTATACGAAAGAAGTTGCATCAGAACATGTTCGCGCAAAAAATCTTAGACAGAGACATCGATTTCTTACATTAAATGGAAATATATTGCAACAAAGAACAAAACAACAATCAATCATTCATTAAATGAATGATTCAACTATCAATAACTAATTTATATGATTTTTAATAAATCAACATATTATGATATTCTACATTAATATAATTGTTTTCATTTCATTTCTCATCAAAATAATATAATATTGTAGCATGTACAATTGCAAGTGTAAGGATTAGATAATTAGAACTGTAAACATTAATAACAAAACTATTTTTATTATTTTTTAATATAAATACTATAAATGTTTCTTAATATATAATCTCATTGATTCATAAATATAATTTATACTTTTTCACTAAAACTTGAGAATATAAAACAAACATATATAATTATAATATAAGATGGAATATGTAAATATGATATAATACAGTCTTGAAAGGCAAACTTTTCAGTTTTTTCTGAGAAGAAAAAGGAATATTGCTACTTAATATTAAAAATACCAATATTAACTTAAATAAATCTCTTGGACAAAGAGATGTTATATTTTTAAATGAAAAATTAGATAAATTTTTTATTCGTTATGATAAAAAAAATGTATCTTCATTGAGCATGTTCATTTTTATGTAATACATATACGTCAATTATATTTATATACCTGCTCTAGAATATCTAGATGGTTTCACTTCAAATAATTTTCGTACAAAATATACTTGTACTGTTGTGGTTACCAATATGACAATTATTTGTGCAATTGACCATGTTTGAACATAAGAATTGTTATCTAATAACAAATTTAAGTCTCTGGCTTCTTTACTTCTGCTCAAATGTTGAGTTTGCAACATTTCATTAATATTTCTCTCCACATTTGTTATTGCAGACTACAAAATTAAAATTATGATATGACAAATTTGATTTTGATATTGATATTTTCTAATAAAATAACAAAATATTTACCGTAAAGTTTTCCACAGAAAGATTTAATTCTTCCAATTCTCTTGTATATTTGTCCCATTCATCATATCTTTATTAAAAAAAAAATTAAATCTTTATTAAAAGTTACATTAAATTATTATATTTTCTAAAATATATATATGTAATTATTACCTAATCACTGTGATATATAAATTAACTAATTTTGAAGCAAATCTGGAAAATTGATTATCTATACAAATACTGTAATAACCAGCATTTTTCACAGTATCTTGATAATCTGAATTAGGAAGCCATTGGTAAGGATGAACTATTATTCCATCTGGATTTCTTACTGCAAAACCAGCTTTTCCATCTCCACCACGTACTACCTGTATTTATAAATATTTAAAAAAAATTTTTTTTTTAAAACATTTGAAAATTTTTATAAATAAAACTATATGGTTAAATAATGAAATTAATTGATTATATATATTTTACAAAAAATACTTTTCAATATTTATATATATGCTGATTTTTTTAAATAAATAAAAAAAAGAATTTTCAAATGAAATAAATATGTCAATTACGATTATATACCTGAAAATTTACATAGAAAGTAGCTCCAGCATTAACATATTGAAAGTAACAATCTTCTTTTCCGGCATCAATATGAACTTTGTAATCTAAGGCCACCGCGGGTAAAGTTTCATACCATGGGTGAGACACGCTGGTATTCGCGAGGCTAAGGAATACTCCGAAAACCAGACTTCGTAAAAAATTGGACATTGTTCACGTTTAATCAAGCAGATCATCACAACAATCCGCCTAGCCAACAATCGCTTTCACGACGATGACTGACAAATGTCTTTCAATGTGTTTCTCGTATCGTCACTATAATCTTCAGTGTTTCTCAACTGTTTATATTCAATCTTTCATTATATATTCAAATCATTGAAATTCGTTGTAAATTTTATTATTGTTTCTTTTCAAAAATCAAAAAAAGAAACTTAAATATACAAAAATGATATATAATAATCATTGGAAAATAATATCTTTAATTTGTTAATTTTAATTAATATTAATATTATTATAATATTATTATATTTAGGTTATTATAATAAAATTATACATGAAATTATTGGTACAATATATTATAACATTTATATGAATATAAAATCTATTACACATATATATTTTTTATGAAAAAATATAAATTAAAATATAAATTTATTAATATATAGAAAAACATAAAAAAACATGAAGCTATAATTAATAAACTATAATAAAGCTATATTATTATAGTTATAAAAACTATAAAAAGATATAATATAATAAAGCTATAAAGATATAATATAATATTGGAATATTTAAAAAAATTAAAAATTTTTAAATTCAAAATTTAAAAAAATTGTATAACATTTAAAATAATAATTACATTCTATAATCATCAATTTCTAAGAATAACATTAAAAATATTAAATATTATGAAAAAAAAATGTATTAGTATCAGATTTATAAATAATTTAAATTTTCACTTTCAATATCAAATAAAAATATATGTGAATTATGAATAAAGTAAATTTTATCAAAATTTGAATATTATAAATAAATATTTAAACCAAATTGATTTAATATTTTATTAACACTAAAATATAAACTATATATATATAAAATATAAACTATAATCTTCATACATACTTATCTTTATTTCTAACATACATATAACTATTATCACATAATTTGCTGAACAATGTAACTATTCATATCTTATTTCATTTTCATGAAAATTTATAAACTTAGAAAATCACAAAAAAAAAAGATTTATTTCAATATAAAAATATTAAGTAATTCATTAATCATTATTACACTGAATAGTTTTTTAGAATTTATTAAAATTATTTAACTTATTAAAATTATTTAATTATATATTTAATTAATGCGATAAAAATATAAAAATTAATTTACATTTTTATTATGTAGACAAAATCCAGGGATTTTTTTTTTAAATGGCTATCCTTATAAATACGTTCGATATATTTTTCAAATAATCACATAAAGTATATAACTTCAGTTTATACGATGTTCAGAACGGTTTGAAAGGCGGATTTTCTTGTTCTAAAATGAAATTTGTGATATAATTCTTAGTTGAGAAATTATGGTTTTCTAAATAAATGAATATAATTGATAAATACGCAAAGAAATATTTATGATAATACGTGGTGTATATTTGAGAATGGAAAGTGTTATAAAAATATTAAAGTACAGTAAGAAGAAAATATTATCGTTCTCCGTGTGGTGCATAGCATAGGAATGGTATCGCCATCCAAAATTCAACATCAAGAGCAAAAACAACCATCAAGAGAAAATAAGTCAATTAAACATTCACGTATGTCTAATATTTATGCATATATATATTTGTATCGAAGTGATTAATGATCGAAATAATTTTATAAATTTATTAATTTATTAATAATTGATAGAATAACAATTTGTTTAAAATTATTTCTATTGTTTGAATATATTTCAATATAATTACTCCATAACATTTGATTAAATTTATAAATAATATCTATATGTAATTTATAAATAATATCTAGGATATAATATTTGCCTATCATTAAAATATTTATTTTATATGATGTAATATTAAAATTTTCATCTAATTTTTATTGATATAATGTTATAATATTTTTGTAAATCATCATGAACTCATGAACTCAATTCTTTAAAATTCTACATTTTAATAACAGTTTAATATAATAAAATTAATAAAAATCTTGTGGCATTTCTATGATATTTCAGACATTCATGCACAGAAGGAATTGAAATCATTGGAAGGAAAATCATTTTATTTGGATATTAAGAATCATGCTACTACAGCTAAAATAGAAGCAAAGATTAAAGATTTAGGAGGAGTAAGTGTTTAGTCATATGTATGTATATATGGCATTTGTAATATCTTCATATTTTATTTATATTATTTCATGTTATTGATTCACTTTATAGTATATTATATTATAATTTATTTGTATAGTATATTCGTACATCTCTCATTTCATATATATTTCGTCTGTATTCTTGTATTCATTTGCTTTCTTATTTATAATTATGGAAATTTATCTTTTATCTCACTTTTTTTTGTTTTTTATTGTATTTTTATAACCTATTAATCTTAACTTCATTAATGTAATTGAATGTTTTAAATGGTTTTAAATGTATAACTTGTTACTTTTAAAAAAATATTTTTTGATAGAAATTATTGATTAATTTAAAACTTGAGTTAGTTAATTTAATTGATTGGTTAAAATTAATTACATTGAAAAAAAATATTAAGTATAATGGAATAAAATTAAAAAAATATTCTAAAATATTTATATTATAAATTACATATCAAACACTTTGCTTTTTCTTGAATATTTTAATGTTCAAAATAATGATTCATCAATATATATATAATATATTAAAAAGCAAAATATAATTTTCAAAGATTCAATGTAGTGCACAAACTCGTAAAATGTTTCTGTTGACAAACAACCGCTAAAAAACCGGGTCGTACCACGCCATCTTTAGGAGAATCTGAGAAATACGATGAAGTGGGGCAGATTCGTCGCTTTCAACTGTTGTGTTGTGGTTTGAAAGAAACAAAAAATATGGACGCGAAAATACAGCGAAAAACAATTTTCACATATTCAGAGAAGCTACCGTATTCATTTTGTTACAATATTCGTCGACGGACAACGAGCAAGAACGCAAAGCGCCGCCTCCAGGCTCGCCTGCCAAGCTGTTAACGGCGAATGGCCATTTTGTGCGTGACAGTTCTCCCCCGCGAGTAACGATCTCGTTGCGCGTCCCAGCGCTCTTTTCCTTTGCCTCCTTTCTTTCATTTGATCGCTTGAGATATATCTCGACAAATTTCTTTCTTAAAATCTTTTATCGTAAATTACGTTTTATATACTTTTTAATACCTGATATATTTACGAATTTGTAAACCGATAAACAGTGTGATTCGAAGAAGTTGTTTTGTGTGAAGGTTTCATGCGTTTCAAGATCGCTTGACAGTAATCAAATATAAACTTGTTCATTATTTTGATTCATGTGAATTTGTTTGAAGAAATCATTTTAAATTCATTTTTCCATAAAAACGGATTGAATTATTCTTTTCGTTTGATCCCACGTGCTTCATTATTGTTCTGAGCGATTTGTAACATATTATTAGAACTGTGTGTAACAATGCGGCAACCATTGTTAACTATGTGAAGATTTCCAACTACATACGCATGGCTTGCATTTCTGCGAATTCGGTTGATAGTGAGCTTAGTTGTGCTTAAGAAGAACTCGAAATTGTTTGACGTCAGCATACCGCGATGTAAACGTGTATTTGTGTATCCGTCAACGGGTCACTTATCACCGGGCGTCCACAAATTATATACCGTTTTGATGCTGCCTCCAATTTTTTTCCCGTGAGTTAAATCACTAAAAAATGGGCAAGCTTTTATTCATTCTACTTCTTCCTTCTTATTCCTTATTCTTATACCTTTCTTATTTTTATGTTTATATTTAATCTTAATAAATTGATAAAATGTATCTTGAATTTTTTAAAATATATTTTGAATCTTTTTTTTCTAAAAAATTTATAAATTAAACTATATAATTTTAGTAATCTTTGATAAATCTTATTTATAATTTTGTAGGTAATAGAATTATTTTTAATACGGAGTGTAGACCTGGTGATTAGTGACAGAGTAGATAAGACTGGCTATATAAATTTTGAAAAACATAAATGGGGTTGTGCCAGTGGAGGCAGTGGGGGACCTCCCTCACTGAGGAGTTTAGGAACTCCAACCCCCATACCAACTCCTCCAACGCCATTTTTTAGTCCTGAATGTCCTTTATCTAATACGACCAATATACGGGGTCAAACTACCCAAAGATCTGTAAGTATTCTATTAAAATAAAATTCAATTTCTATTTTTTATGTACTTAAATTTTGTTTTTTTTTTCATATATTATTTTATAGAAATCGCGAGTGGAGGCAATGTTGGAGCGTGCTCTGATACAGCCACAACAGTGTTCCGTGGATCCACTCTACAACGCTCAAAATTGGGGAATTCCTATTTGGGCAATTGATAAACTTCAGGCTTGGCTTGACAAAATCTACACATCTATTAAAGATACAAATCATTTAAAACAATTAAGACACTCAAATCAACAAAGTTCAGTTAAAGATATAAAGGTCAGACATTTCAAGGGTTCTTATTTAAAATTTGAATCCTTTCAGAGGTAAGTTATTTAATATATAAGATCTGTAGGAGTATAAATCTCTTTAAATCATAATATCATATCAACGTAGGAATACTAGACCTGTATTTGTTGAATTGCCTGTGTGGCCAACATTGAATTTTCACGGCGATCCAGGATCTTGTCCTTTCAATTCAAAGAGACGAGAAAAACTGGAAAAATTAGAAAAAGAAATCAAAGAAAACAGGGAAGATATTCAAACTATTAACCAAGAGGAGGTAACGTTAAATATATATTTAATCTATATTTAATTATGTAATATTTAATTGATAAATTCTAAATGCAAATTATTCTTTTTAATATGAATTTTTTTTAATATGAAGGGAAAAGAAATGACTCGGCGACCACGAACAACTGCCCGTACTCGAAGAACAGAACAATTAGCTTCCGGTTATTGTGAAATTTGCCGTATTAGATATCGAGATCTAACCAAACATGTACAAAGCGATCAACATCTTAGTTTTGTCCGAAATGATGATAACTTTTTATCTTTAGATAAATTGATTAATGCAGGAGCCAATGTAGAAGCTTTCCTAAAACTAAACAGAGGAAAAAATGTAGAGTATGTAAAAAATTAAAAAAATTAGACTATTTATTCATAATAAGTATTAATTTGTTTAATAAACATTTATAAAACTTTACTTATTTTTTTATAGAAAAGACTGCAATTTATTTTCCAATGGAGATCGTAATCTTCATGACACAGTACTGCCAGAAGGAAAAATTAATAGAAATGCGAAAAGCTTAGGGGATTTTGATGTTGGAGATATAAAGATGGTACAACGTAATGGTACACGTAGGAATCTCAGTTTAAAATTAAATTCTTCTCATAATTTACGTACTCGTACGAAACATGAAAGCGGCCATTTGTTAAGGTCAAAAGGTAGTCCTTGGCACGAAGCTGAAAAAACAGAAAAATTTTATGATGAATTTGAAGGTTTCACTATTAAAAAACGTGCAAAAGGAACAATTTGGATTGAAGAAGATGATCCAGAAGATAAGTATATAGAAGAACATGCATTAAAAGAGTCTAAACAAAATGAATATAAGATAAAAACATTTTCGGCGGAATTAGAAGAAAAATGTTGCGATAAGAAAAATTACGATATGTGTAATCATAACAAACTTAAAGATTCTAGTAATCAAAACTCACAAAGGACAATAACTTGTAATAATGAGAAAAACAGTATTGAAAATAACATAGAATGCATTAAACAAGAACAAACTCTTACAAAAAATAGAAATCATGATCAAATTAATGGAAACATAAAAAATCGTTGTAACGAAAATCTTTTAAATATAAATGATAATACTTGTAATGAATCTTGTAAAGTATCGTCTAAAACCGAGACTCTAAAAGAATTGAATTGTAAATTACAGGTAGAGAATATTTCTTCGAATATAAAAAAAATTTCAGAAGAACATAATAATATTAATGTAAACAGCATTTATAATGGTCATACTATAAAAGATGAACAAAAAGTTCATAAAACATTGAATAGCTTAGAAAAAAATGAAATTTTAAAAGAAGAAAAATCGAAATGTTTTAAATCAAATAGAAGAGGCAGTAGAAGCGTCAGAGGGCGACATAGATTATCCGTTGAAGAACGTTTAATCGAAGATAATCGTGCATATTATAAAGTGGAAGTGTTAGGAAGTAAATTAAGATCAAGTGTATTATCAAACAATAATTCTCAATATACAGTTCCAAGAGATGGGGATGGTGAAGAAAAGAAAGAAGTGCCATCTAGTGAAAAGCCAGTAGTTGTACGATTTAAACGTGTAAGAAAATCAGAGTTATCATTACTAAGTGATGAAGCGGAATCTTTTATGTTTCGAGAACTTAAACGAGATGATTCAAGTGAAATAAGCGATGATGATGAACAGAGTAGTATATTACCAAGAGACACCGAAAGTGAGTGTAACGATGTCAGCAATTCTATATGTCGTAGTTCGTTTGTAAATTCATCTATAAAATCGGAAATTGTCGAAGATGATTCTCAGGATTCTGTAAATTTGGGTCGAGCTAGAAAAAGAAGACGCACACAAGCAGAAGCATTAATCAAAGACAACGTTGATTATTATAAATTCGAAATTCCTGGAAGCAGATTAAGGTATCAGGCACCTTTAACTGGAATTAAAGATTTATCGATAAGCGAAAATCAGGAAAAAATAGAAGGGATAATTTCCGATAAAAATGCACAAATAGAAAAAATATATCCGTCCAAACCCTCACCTGAAGTTGAAAAAATGCAATTTTCTTTCGAAGCTGTACCAAAATCTGAACCATGGTATCAAACATACCAACGACAAGATAAAGGAGCTGAATTTTGGCATTATTTTACTGAAGGAGATTCAGAAAAGCCATTTCTTTTACCATATGAAATTGAAAATTTTCATGAAATTTTGATGAAAAATCAAAACAGAGCTGAGAATAAAAGAAAAATTCGTGGAAGGAGTATGGGATGTATTGGACGATCTCCTAGAAAAAGTCCTCGTTGTCATGCTTCTACATTAGCTATTATGTCAACTATTATTAGAAAAAGAGAACAACAACAATCTTCGACTTTGCACACAATAGATGAATACCATTCTATTAGATCACAAATAAATACTCCGGGATTGGATCAAAAAACTGAATTAAAATCGGATGTAGACGAAGAATTAAAGGAAATGATAAAAAGTATTGATGAGATGCTTGATAATGCAAACGATAGTTTAGAATTGGTTGAATCATTCGAACCAGATATAATGCAAATGGAATTGAATCTTTATGAATCAAATATTCCAAGAGGACCACCTTCAAATCTACTTGAATTATTGGACAGTTGTCACGAAATCGTAAATTATTTAGAAAATTCATCATGTGCAAGCTCCGAGTGTGGTGAAGGTAGTGTCGAATCACCTTTAAAGCGAAGAAAAAAGAGGAAAAATAGAACGGGCTGGCCTGGAATCAAAATGAAGAAAAAACTCCAAAGTAAACCTTTAATAGATATAAACTGTGACAGAGAAAATTTAACAGAGAAAAATATTGAACAAAGCGGGAAAGATTGCAATGTACAAATCACAAATATATCTAATAGATTAGCAGAAGAAGGTAATATCAAAATAGGTACATCTATTATTGTACAAGATGAACAATCATTAAGTTTCGATCAAAGAAAAGATGACAGTCGTTTATTTGAAATGTATACTTCTAATATTTCGTCTAATATACGTCACAACGAAAACGAAAAAAAAGATGTAAGTATAGCGGTTTCCGATAATTCCATATTACATACAACAAATGCTGAATCCTGCACAGGTTCGCTTACATCTGATGTATGCAACGAGACTGACAGGAATTTCGTATTAAACAAAGATTATGGATTCAGAAAAAGTTTGTCTGAGATCGAAGAAATATCGGAAAACGATCCCGGAAATGATGAAAATCATGAAAATATGTTTCGAAAAGATATTCATTCCATATCGGAACGTCGATTTATTTCAAATGCAACTATCAAGAAACGACAACGTGACAATACATCCTCTGAAACTTGCGACTCGCGTGCAGAACTTGAAAATCATGAGATTTTATGTAGAAAAGATGCCGAAACTAGAATTGTTCCCAGGAAACATCATAACTCAAATGGATTACCGAGAAAACGACAACAGAAAGTTCATTCTGAAAACTCTGATTCTGAAATTGAACAGCATCATCATCATCATCACCATCATCATCATCATCACCATCATCACCACCATCATCATAATAATGTATATAAAAGAAATACAGTAAATTCGCGAAAACGGATTTATGCAAAAAAGCGTGCGAGAAAAAATAATATATCTTCAAATACAGTATTTGAAGATGAAAATTGTAAAAAGGATTCCTATTTAAGTATTACGTGTAAAAAGCAACAAAATATGAGAGGTATAAAACGACGAGCTAATACTATGTCATCGGAAACGCAAGTATCTGAAGTCGATTGTGCATTATCAGGACATATTAGTCCAACAATTATAGCAACTTCTGAACTTGAACAAAGACGTTCAAGTATTGAATTTCAACCAGTTGTTAGGATGATGAAGATCGATGATCAAGTTGAAATGGATCACAGTATTCTCTCGGTAACAATTGCAAGCAACAGACGGTTACGAAGTTCCAGTTCACCGAGATCGAATACTCAACCGCCGAAAAAGCGTTTAAAAAACAATCGCGGTCAGTTCGGAAGATGGTTAAAAAGTAGCTGAAATCCTCGATAAGATTTTTTGATAGTTTAAATTTCAAAATCGAGATTCACTTTTTTTTACAATATCTCGTTGTTGAAATTTAATCTATACATTTTATCAATATGTAAATTATGTATAAAGTATTTGTGTATGTAGAATAGTATTTAACACTACTGGCGCACCATTAATAGGGTTTTATTAATATTTTCCTTAATATCCTTTTCCGATAAGAGTTCTATTAAGAACCTTGTACAATGTTGTTTAGGTGCAGACTTCGCATTTTTGAATCAGAAAATTGACGTACGTATGTATATCTATGTTTAAACAAAGTACTTTTTTTTTTATTTTACTTATCTTGATATACGTACAAAAATATACACATGTGAAAAAAATTATTTTTATTCATAAAAGCAGGCTTTAGAATATGCAATGCTGTATACAAGCTTTATTGTAGTGTAACAATAATTTTCTGTTATAAAACACATCATTGAATGTAATATATATATTCAATATATATACATATATATTGAATTCCCTTGCGAGGGTCCACCTAAATATTTTATTTCAAAAAAAAAAAAAAAATACAAGCCTTTTGCGATTTCAAAAAAGAGATGACTATTAAAGATATGATTTTCCATTAAAAATTATAACGGATGGATTACATACTCCTAACCTTTCTTGTTTTATATTTAATTATGATATAATATATAAATTTAATGTTATAGTATATAACATTATACTTAGTATATAACATTATATATATAACATTTAATTTAACTTTTATTAGACAGCATATAAATATTTAAAAATTTTTTTAAATAATTTATTATGTTATATTTTTGATTATTTTAAATTCTCGCGTTCTATGAATGCATTTTTTAAATCTTGAAGTTTTTTTTTCTTTTGTTTTTTCTTAATAGAATCTCTTTTCATTAATTGTTCCTTTTGATTTTGAAGAGAATTTTGACCATTAACTAAATTATCTAACCTTGTTAACAGTATTTTTCTAGCAATTTTTCTATTTTGATCTAAACTTCTAGTTTCATGACATTTTACAACTAATCCTGTAGGTTTGTGTTTTAAAACTATTGCATTAGATGTCTTGTTAGTTGCTTGGCCACCAGGTCCAGATCCTTTCACAAATTGCTCTTGTAAATCACTTTCTTCAAGCTTAGGTACTCTTGAATAATCCAAAAAACGTTTGTATGATTTATATCGAATTTGTTTCCCACCATTTAACAAATCATAGCAATTAATATTATTGATTTTATAATGTAAAGATTCAGACATTTTTTTAAAAAGTACTGATAATATATACGTATTACTACGTTCGTTGAAATATATTCTACTAAACAATTTCAGTATTGCAATAAACATTATATAATTATATTTGTTTAATTTCACTATAAAAAATTCTATATTTATACTATTCGTTGATTTTGTAAGAGTTTTTTCCCTTTCTGAAAAAATTATATAAAAGAATAAAATTACTTTTAGGTTAAGTATAAATTTTATTTTTTTTTTTTCAAAATATTTACGATTAAAAAATTGAATTATTTTATGAATATTTACCTGCAACTGAAAGTCAATCTCTCTTTGATCAATTAAATGTTTATTTTGTTTAAAATTTTTACGAATTCTGAATCGAAAGTATTTTTTATCTGTATATTTCAAATTTTCACCATAACGCAATAAATCTTTATATAATTTTAAAACCGTATTTCTCATTTTATAATTTTATTAAAAATTAAAATTTCTTATACTCTATTTATTATACAACAATTTCTTTTTATTTAAATTAATGATAACTAAAACTAATTTCCAGTCAATCTTCTTTTTAACCTCTTATTGTCCGTTTTGCATACCATTATTGATTACTAACACATTTGTTAATTTTAAATTCATTTTTAAGAAAATTTAATTTATTTTTATTTGTTTTAATACATAAATATATTTAATCAGAATTATTAAATTTTACATTGCAAAAAAAGAAGTACATTTGATTATAATTTTTTTGAATTATTTTTAATTTTATTATTAATATCATTTAAAATTCTGCAATCTTTTCCTTTTTCTATTATATCATTTTTATTTTTTATGAATAGAATTAAGGTAGAAAAATAAATAAATTAAACTTTGGTATGAAAAGTAATTTATTTAAAAAGTGATACTTTAAATAAAAAATATTTGAAAAGTTCTTTGCTTTGTATAAGTATGATTTTTTGTAATAATTCCATATACACAAACTTTGTTATTACAATTCTTGAAACTCCATTTCAAACAGTTTCTTAATTATATTATTCATTTGTAACTCTTCTGTTATTTCAATTATTAATTCCTCTATCAATTTATCAGATATCCTATTTAAAAATATTATTGTTTAAAAATTTTATGATTGAAGTAAAATATAATTTAATTTTCTCACCATGCCACAATGTCCCATGGTTTATTCTGTGTGTTGCTGGAATACATTGGTTTTGATTGACAAAATTTTTTATATTCACATCTATATGTTAAAAATTGTAACTCGATTTCTTCTGAAATAGCAAGCTGTATGGTATCTTTGATATTTGAATCCACAATTTTTCCATTGTCAATAATCTAATTATTTATTATAAAAATATATATAATTTCATTTTTTTCAATTAGATATAATATATTTTACATCACTTACTTTTAATGCAATTTCATAATCTACTTGACATGAAGCATCACATTGAGTCATTTTAGGAACTTTTTCCATAGAAGATATACAAATGAATTGTACATTTTCATCACGTTTTTTAATTTCAGATAAGCTGTTGCAATGCATAAAATATTCAGTTTTATTTTATTTAATCAATATCTACTTTTATTATTGTGTTCTATTTACCCATTCAAATTACAATATGATTGTTCATAATTGTTTTTTGTTAAAGTTGTTTTAGTATCATAATCTTTAGGAGACTGATATTTTTGTAAAAATTCTCTTAACGTTTCCACGGATGTTTCCGAAACGGGTTGCATCTCAGATTCGTTTTGCTGTCATATGATTTATAGTAATGTTAATTTTTAATAATATATAAATTAAAAATATTAAATTGAAATAAGTTTACCATTCTTGATACAAAAGTTATTAAATCGTTTATTACAGGAACTAAAGTAGCCAAATGTTCTTTAGGAATTGTGGTTACTTTTTTAATTAGATCATTTTCATCAGTAACATTTTCTACTTTAATATTTCCTCCTTTTTTTCGTATTGCAACAGATTGTGGTTCACTATTTGTAGTAGGTTTACATTTAGTTTGAATTTCTATGTTGCTGTCCTATTTTATAAAATTAATTATTTATTAAGTCTTCTCTAGAAACAATTATCAATATATCTTACATTTTCAGAATCTATCGTTATTCCTTCCATCATAGTTTGAATGTCATCTTCTTTTAAGTTGTTTATATTTTTCATAGAATCAATATGAACATCCCTAGAAGAAGTTGTATGAGTTATAGGACTGGGATACAACATTTCTGGTAATGAGCAATCTTGAGTATATAAGTTTTTACTATCTTTAGTATTATTTCCATTTTCTTTTTGATAAGTATAATCTGTAAAATATATATGTAAATTTATAATATGTTTAAAATAATGAAGATTAAATAATAAGAAACCTTAAGTAGTTTTCGTATACTTTTTCTTCTTATGTAATTTCTTCTTTTTTGGTTAGACTTAGATATTTTAACATCCATATTGTACATACTTAATCGACTAGATAAATTTTTTCGATTCAAACGTCCTTTGTTAGGCAAAGATATTGATGCAGTAGTTATAAAAGATTGAGCATTTTTATAATTTGCATATCCATATTTACTTTCTAAATTTAACTTCAATTTCGCTAATATAGCATCGCATTTATCTTGAAGATTTTTTTCCTGCAAAAAAAAATTTATTAATCAATTTTAATGATTTATAAATATAAATAATGAATTACCAGCGGTATAATGGTAGTATCTCCAGAACAAAAATAATAAGAAGAGATTTCAATTTTATCACAAATATTTATCAGATTGTAAACAATTTGTAATACATCTTGCAATTTTGTAGAATGACCATCAAGAATAGAATTAGGAATATGTTTACAATAAGCAGTTAAAGCTTGCATTAATAATTGGTGTGCAGCAACTAATTTTTGTTTAATCATATCTTGATGAAATGCAATATTTTTATGATATTGTTTTAATCCTGATCTTGAAGATACAGCTTTGATATGTCTTTGAATGCTTGTAACAAATCTATTTAAATTGTATAAATAATTTCTTGAAAATCTTATAGCAAATTCTAATGTTTGTTGTTGTCTTCTTTTTAAATCATTTTCACCATCTGGTAAAGGAATTCTGCATAATCTAAATAAAATTTCATCTAACAATTCAGCAATTTTCTTTTGCATTGATAAAAGTTTTTGTATAGTAAGTGGATCTGGTTGTACATAAACAATATCATCTTTATTATTACTTGAATCTGTATCAGAATTATTTTCAAAATGATTTGTTGCACGAAGAAGTTGGTTTGTATAACATTTTTTTTCTGTGATAGTAGAATCTGACAAAGATTTTTTAGCTTTAGATCTAAAAACTGTTTTCTGTCCTTCAAATTCCTTAGATATACAAATATTATTGCCTTGTGAAGTTGGAATTAAAACATTAGTTTTACATGTATCTTTATTCTTTGTTAATATTTTTTCTTTTGAAGAATTATTTCTGATATTGTTTACCTAATATGAATAAATTAATATTAATTTTATTTATTATAACTTAAAAAACATTTATTATGTCTAGTAAATATTATAATAAAAATTTAAAAACACTTACTTTTGAATAAATCATTTCATTTTTAACATTAGATTTAGGGTTTTGAATTCCTTTGCTTCGTTCAGGAAGAGCATCTTCTTCTAGTCTTTTCAGTTCTCTATCTACATTTTGTATATTTTCTTGCAACAGATCTTTTATATTTTTTATAGAATAGTCAACATCTTTTTTGTCAAACCTCAAACTATTTAACTCCTGTTCTTTGACAAATGAAGCCCAGATACGTTCCTCATCCTCCTTACGTCTGTGTCTCTGTACATTTTTTACTATATGTTTAAAATGACTCTCAGGTATGTACTATAATAAAAAATATCTTCTTAATTAATAGTATTTATATAATATATAATAATTATACGTTTATATATATATTTGTCAATTTATATAAATACCTTAAAGCTATAATCTTTAGTTACTTCTAAAGAAAGAAAATGTTCTCTCTCTTTATTGTTTATTTCATTGGTTGATCTATTTTCTACCATAAAAGACATTTTTTCTTAGAATTGGATTAGTCTGGATTGAAATTTTATATAAACGATAATTAAATTTTATTACATTTACGTGACAACACAGTAAAAAAAGTATATCAAAAAATGTGTGAACTCCAGAAAAATGAATGTATGTCTATTTGTTTTGGGTAATAATATAGAAGAAAGTTAAAAAATTGCCTTCTATTCCGTTTTTGAACAGGAGTTAAATTAGCATCTTAACCTCGATATTTTAACAACGTATCAAAAATACTTCAGAGTATTCTTTCAAATCGAAATTTCACATTTTATTACTGAATAGCACGTATACATATGAGTCTAAAAATACACGTTCATAAATACATATATATGCACTTTTATTACTTATATTTTAGTTAATAAATAATTTATAATTATATTTGTAATAAATTATAATCAAAATTGTAATGTTTTGTCATTTTATTTCTTTATTACGTCATATATAGTATTATTACATCAATACAAAAATTTCTTTATTTTAAATTTATTAAAAGAAAATTTATTTATTAAGAGAAAAATTATTCATAAAATAAATTAAAATAAAGAATAATAAAATAAAGGAATTTTGTTTTAAAAAATTATTAATTAGAAAGATTTACAGAAATAAATTTCAAAATAGTATTGATAAAAGTGTGGGTGCGGTTAAGGCGTGCTATCATTTGTTAACTATCATTGGATCAATACTCACGCGCGCAAGGATAGAGAAAAGCCAGGTGTCGTGAACGAGTTTTGTCCTGCGTATCTGAACAGTCCACCTGACGATCTATACATTTGCGCGCTTGCTTTTAAAATCGTCAAAGTAATGTTATAGTAAATTTTTATTATTCTCGGATTATAGTATAATTAAATTTTATACATGTTCAAGATAGCTTATGATTGGTTTATAAATTTTCAATCAAATATTTGCTTAAAGGATTAAAATTCTTTTCAGAGACTATCATAACTAATTTTTATTGTTAAAGTATTAACCAATCCTTGGTGCGATGTGACGTCAGGAAATTCAGGCGCAGAATCCACATCTCTAGACTTCCGATTACTCACATTCTGTCGAGTTTTCGCATTTTATTACGCAAAACGTCTGGAAATTTAAATGTAATTTGGTAATGTATAAGAGAAAACAATTTTTAAATTCTTTTTTGAAATTTAATTTATTTTACTTTCATTTCATTTTTTTTTTTTTATTATATTTATTTATTTTTTGTTACTTATATTTTTACGACGATATAAGATATATCGAACAATGTAATAACACAAAATAATCTTAATTCATAGATAAACAATACATTACTATGTCGTACAATTATTACAACATTTTCTTATTTATGACAAACGTTTTGAACTCTCAAGTTAATTAATTCTCAAGTTAAATTATTATACATAATTAAATGTATATTTAATTATATTATTGTATATTTAATATTTTGCTGTTAATTTATAATATAATATTTTTTTTTATAAGTATTTGAAAATTTTCCAAGTAATATTTT